TCATGTATTTTTAATAAACTAATTAATTTTAGGTTCAGTTTTGAAAAATGAAAATGTGAATTTATGGGTTAGAAATCCCAATGTAATAAATAAAAAACCATATGTCCTCTCACTTCTCTCTTCCTTTATTATGACATCTCTCAAAAAGAGACAGATATAAGAATGGGCGGCCATGTCAGAATTGTCAGATAGTTACAAGCATTACTAGCGCCACCATGGGCTACAAGAAATACGTTGCCACTTGTCGCATATGAATCGGTAACTCTTACCTTGGTTTATTATATTTCTCTATGTTTGTAGCTATCATAATAGAGTAAACAAGTTTCTATATGTACAGGGTGGGCCAATTTGGACACTTTCTTATGGAAACACCCTTTATTTTTAGAGATAGAAAAAAATTAACCCCCCACTCTGAGGCTCAAATTTCATGAAATTTTGATTGGTGCAAACCGCATTTTGATATCTTCAACCGTTTAGCCGCTAGAGGGCGATTCTCGATTTTGAGCAATATTGTAAAACCTTCATAACTTTTTTACTTATGAAAATAATTGATTTCCGTAAAAACTTTCTGGAATCACTTTTTTAAGCAGAATTTAGTGACGTTCTCAGTTTTTTTCTATTCGGCGCCGATTTTGAGATATTGACCAAAGTCTAATTTTTTTCAATAGGACACCCTTTATATTATTAGCTCATTGAAAAGCTATGATTTTCTGATTTTACTGATAGAAAGTTCGATAGGTTTATCTCGAACAGTTTTTGAGAGAAAAATTATTTTGGTTTTTGTCATAAACAATATGTTAGAAAGAGACCTTTTTCATTATCCTTACAGATATAAAGTCCTTTTCTAACACATTGCTTCTTATGAGAAAAACCGAAATAATTTTTTTTCTCGAAAACGGTTAGAGATACTTTATCGAACTTTATATCAATAAAATCAGAAATATCATAGCTTTTCAATGAGCTAATAATATAAAGGGTGTCCTATTGAAAAAAATCAGACTTTGGTCAATATCTCAAAATCGGCGCCGAATAGAAAAAAACTGAGAACGTCACTAAATTCTGCTTAAAAAAGGCTTCCAGAAAGTTTTTACGGAAATCAATTATTTTCATAAGTAAAAAAGTTATGAAGGTTTTACAATATTGCTCAAAATCGAGAATCGCCCTCTAGCGGCTAAACGGTTGAAGATATCAAAATGCGGTTTGCACCAATCAAAATTTCATGAAATTTGAGCCTCAGAGTGGGGGGTTAATTTTTTTCTATCTCTAAAAATAAAGGGTGTTTCCATAAGAAAGTGTCCAAATTGGCCCACCCTGTACAGTCATGAGCACAAAAATTGGGACACCCGTTTTTTCCTATTGTGAAACTGGCTCACCAGCTATACTTACGGCAATGACAGGGATTGTCATATTTGACAAAAAATCGATTGTAGAGAAAATACTGATTTACGCAAAATAGCGAAAAATGACAAGACCTGTCAGTCGGGTGTCCCACTTTTTGTGCTCATGGCTGTATATGTAGTATATGTAGGTAGAATACATTGTTTTGTTGATCGAATTTGTTGTATAAAACAATAAAATTTTCATAAAAGTGTAACGGAAAAGCTATTCTGAAGCGTTTAAAATGGATTTATATCAGATTTCCTACAAAACGCAACAACATTCAAGTTATATTAGCTTGCATGAGGAAAGCGGTATTTCGGCGGTACTTCTTCGGCTCCTATCCTAGTAAGGGTAGTATCCAGGAAGTTCAAAAATTACTTTTTTTAAAGGTTTTTTTGTGCTTTCCAATTTATTTCTCTTCATATTTTCTCGAAAAATGAGTAGTTTTCGAGTAAAACGTAAATTAAGCAAAAAATGTCAAAAATCCAAGATGGCGGCGCCATGTTGACAATGTTCCCCTAGGGGGAGGTCTGGGGACTTTTAGTATGTTCATCAGTACCATAAATCCTATCGATTTAGACTAGTCGCAGCTTTATGTTATTTTGTTCCCAATAAAATTATAACTGTCTTGGGGTATTATGGTTGATCCTGTGGTTGATCTGTAAATAATACGTTTAGTCCAAATTCATTCGGATGAATTTGGACTAAACGCTCAAAAAATTTCTAAATGCGCGTTTTATTTTCCACGTGCACTGCCCTTAACAACCTATCGAAGTTTTAATCTAAATTTTGACCTTTTTAAGTGCTCGTTATTATTCGCCTCCTCGAAAAGCTATTTGAGATATTTTCCTTCTTAAATGTCAAGCTAGCATCTGGATTTACTGCATAAAAGTTAAACGGAAAATACACAAACTACTCGAACACCATTAAAAATTACATTTTCCTTTAGGGTAACGTTTTGAATATTAAATTGAGGACTTACCTGGTTAGAAGCAAGCATATATTTTTATGTCCTCATAAAAGGGGGTTTTCATCTTTAGATACGTCAATCTCAAGCTCTTAGTCTTGCGACGTTTTCTACCTACCTATACTAACTGTGCTCACAAGACCAAAAATGGTGGGACAGCATTGCCAAATATTTTTTAACATATATTGGAAAAATGCCTAAATTAATTATCAGGAATGATAACCCAAAGTCAAATTTGTGAAGTTCTTCAATGCATATCCCTTTGAACTACAATGATATATGAGGCTAATAGGAACAGTCAGAGAACATTATATCTATTACTAGAGATGTTTTAATAATCATTTTTGTTTATTTTCTAAATAAAATATTGTTATGTACAATAATATGTATATCAACTAATAGTTTACTCTGGTCCTGGTCTTCCATTAAAAATGCAGTATGCAGTTATGTATTAGACTTCAATGTTTAGCGACTTGCAGCAAGTTTCACGCCCCAGTGAGCATGTTTTAACATCTTTAGTAGTTTGTTTCCTCCATGTGTTTAGAGTCCCTGGGGGCTCCCAAAACCTGTACCAAAGAGGAAAACGTGAAGTTGACACAAAAGTATCATCATAATAAAAGTAATACAGGCGCCTGTATTTAAAAATTGTAATTTCTGATTCGTGCTTCTGTGAAAACCCCTTACTTTGACAAAAAAAAAAAACCTTGCCGGGAACTTTTATATATCAGAGCTCCCCAGATTTTCATAGCCACCCATTTAAAAAAAAAGAAAGTGAATTGATATTATGTACCTACTAAACAAACATAATGTATTTTTTTCTGGAATGCTATTAGTTTGAATGCCTCTACCTAATTTGTTTTTATAACATGGATCTTGACAATTTCATTAAATTAAAACATAGGTTCGCTTTTTAATATTCGAAATAAATTTAGTTGGAAAGCTATTTTAGGTTGCTTTCCTTGGAAAGCTCTAAAGCTAATGTCAAGGCACAGTTGAGTTTATTTACATATTTTTCTTTCATTGTTATTTGTATCTTTAAGTAATGAATATATAAATTAGAATGGTTTTCTGAATTTCACTCTCCTTAATATTTTGAATTACCTACCGTCTCAAAACTTGATGGCGCCCTTGCCTCAATCTTTCTATAATAATGTTATAATATAGTATAGTATATTATAAATATAATAATGCCTATTATTTGTAACCCCTTTTGTTAACGAATTAACTAGAGGCCCATAATATGCTGAGTTTGCTCAGTGAATAATTATTATTAGGGGTGGGTCAATAGGTAAATAAGTACAGAATGACAAGGGCGCCACTAAATTTGTAAAAATAAATGAATAATTGAATCACGTAAAATGTTGAAGTGTGAAAATTCAGAAACACTTCTAAAAAAAATTAGCAAAAGGTGATTGATAATTCTGAAAAGGAAATAAATAAGGCATATAACTCAACCAAGTCTTGACATAGGTAAAACCAATAAAACACAAAATCCAATTAGTAAATATTTCTACGGTGATAGCAAATAAATTCAATTCACAGTTCGGAGGATAAAAGAATAGGTAAAAAAAATGAATGAATCAAAGTTGTAATGTTGTATGGATAAATATTTAAGCTTCTGCTTAGAAAATAAATTTAGTAGTGAAAGTTTTAGTGGAAAATTGATCAATTTTCGACAACTTACTCAATAAAGTTAAATTTAGAACATATTGTCCAACCTTGACTTCAGTTCAGATCAACGATTAATAAAACATAAATTCTTAAAATATGATAGTACGAAAAGTTGATTAAAGATAATTCAATAATAAATGCGATAAATCGAAAATCTAAAATAATTATTTAACAGTCACTTTGGGCATATTTTTAAGATGTAACGGATGTCGGTCGGAACTGACAATATTTTGACATTCGGAAGTATATTTTTACTTAATTTAGGATGGACTTTTTATCACTATATGATAATGTTCAATTCCTCCCTAAAATCCTTTAAACAAACTAAGTATTTAATATCTTGAAATTACCAATATTCTAAAAATTATTATACAATCAGTTCGCTATCATTTTCGACAAATATAATATCAAGTAAGCAACGACAGCCAAAAGTAATTTAAATAGTTGACAAAAATATTCTGCTACTCACCAATTAGATAATTATTGATTTATTTTGTTACAGATATCTGCTAGTGTCATCATGTAAAGCAAAAATAAGACATAAAATGGAGAATACCACTTATTGCGACTTTGACGATTTCGGAAAGCAATATCGGGAATATGTGCATGGATATTTGAGCCTCTCAGTATGCCTCTTTGGTTCGATCGCAAACATTTTCAATATTTGCGTCTTGAGGACGAAAAATATGCGCTCACCAACCAATTATATTCTAATGGGCTTAGCCATAGCTGATTTACTAGTGATGATTCACTATGTTCCATTTACGATCCATAGAAATTTGCCCTCAAATCCTCTACACTATAGCCATTTCAGCCACGGCTGGGCACTGTTTTACAAATTTCATTCCTTGTTTACTTTGGTTTTGCATTTCATTGCTTGCACTTTAACAATAGTACTGGCAGTTTGGAGATATGTATTTATAACACAAGTACAGACGAATAAAGTTTGTTCCAGCCAACGAAGTACGATGTTTGTTATTTTTTTAACATACGTTGTATGTCCTCTGATGTGTTTTCCAATACTCTCAACTCTCGAAATAATGCCTTATCAGCAAACATGCGATTTGAATGGTTTCATGGTGGGCAGAGAGTTTAGATATCGATACAACAAATCCCAACTTAAGAATGAAACTATTTATATCCTTTATCCCAATGACCCCTATAATCTCAGCATATGGATTTATACCGTTCTTTTGAAATTTGTCCCTTGTCTTCTTCTTACTTTGCTCTCCTATAAAATCATATCGGCCCTATTTGACGCAAGAAAAAGGAGAATGAAATTGTTAAACGCTAACAGTCCACTGGGAGATATGAAGAAAAAGACTAATGCAATACAATTGTATAAAGAAAATCAGGCTGATAGGACCACGAAGATGCTGTTGGCAGTGCTTATACTGTTTCTGATTACGGAGTTTCCTCAAGCTATCATGGGATTGATTAGTGCGCTTTTGGGTGGTGCCTTTTTGGAGGAATGCTATGCACCTTTAGGTAAGAATCTTTTTGTTCGAGCTTTGTTTAGGTTCAAATAAACGGAGTTTTTAAATAAAATTTGATCATTGTCTCAAAAAATGGTAAAATTCAGCAAAAGATAGGTATATTGCAACCTCTTGATCACAAAACAAATCAATTTTTCAACATAAATTTTAACTCTCACAAATCTTATTGTCCGACTTTTTGTTCCATGAAGAAGGATCGATTAATGTTTTTATGTTTCTCCAAATGGACATTGCTAGTGTATAAAAAATTCCCCCGAAATAAGAATGCAATTACGAAAAACGACAAAATTCAAAATAGCCATCTAGATAGATTCGTCAATGTCAAACATGATTCCATTCGTATAATTTCATTTAAAAGTGAAGTATAAACCCATGTTAGACTTTTTGGAAAAATTTCTGATTATGTCAGACACAAAAAATTACAGTATAGAAGTATAGGCGGCCAGCGGTCTCCGAGGCGTACGAACCGTCTGGAAATCCATTACTGGAAATGGCTGGACGCAATAACTGATGGAGAATATTTTAACAAATGTCTAGCAAAACTTCTACAAGATTGAAGACATTTTGAAATTTTACGTTTCCATTGAAATTTCTATAAATTATATATTGAATAGCATAACATTTGCACGATTAAAAACTCTCAAAAGCACTATCATTACTCTACTTGATCTAATTGATGCTGTAAATCAGATAGATTATCTCAATCACTAATCACTTCCGAAAAACAGTTTACCCTTACCTACTGACAAATCGCCTGACTAGCATAATTCTTTGCATACTCAAACATTTATGACTTTCATTTTCTTTCCGGTAATTTATTTGTGTATGACATATCGATCTCCTATTTTTTTCAATGAGAGGTTCTTCCCCTTTTTAGCAGTGCTGATCTCATAGTTTTTGTTTTCTCGTTGAGAATACATCATCCTTGTACAGGGGCGGATACAGGCCTTTCGAAAGGGGGGGGGGGGGAGCTTGAGTTTCAAAGGGGGTGTGCGCCAAAAAAACAACTTCATCTAAAAAAAAAAGAGAAAAAAAATCTAAGAATAACAGTGGAAACCGCACCCCTTTATGACAAATAATACCGAAGATATGGCTCTATGAAGGTGCCGCATCTCACCATATGACGTCACGAAAGCTCCAGCGACGTATACGAGAAAGTGAAGTAAATTGAATTTACATGTTTTGCCTGTGTCACCTGCAATAATCCAAACAAAAACCACCCACGCGTGCCGGAAACAATCCAATTAACAATGCGGAGCGCGGCTGGACGAAGCTCTCGTGACGTCACACACACTTTAAAGCGGTCAAATTGTTGAAGCAATGTCAAAAAACAGCGAATTTCGCTGTTATGAGTATTAGGCTTTATCAATACTGACATTGTTGACATGTAACAACCCGTATTCTAACCTCATAAAAATTTCAAAATGCCGGCTGGTTGGCAAAAGTCACATGGTTTGGATTCCCTAATAGTGCTAACTGTTTGAGGTTAAAGTTCTTGGGACAAAAGTGTGATTTTTTATAGGTTTCCAGCTTTTGCCCCCCCTGCCCACCTGTATCCGCCACTGTCCTTGTAGTCTAGTTCTACTAAATGCTGCGGTGGTACCATTATCTACCACAAAACTAATGTTAGGTTCATAGGTCATCAAACTTTCATGAAATTTTTTTATGCGTGTGACCAGTCAAAATAGCTATTTTCCTAACGAGTGCGGGGAGAGAAATTCCTGGCACGAGTGCGAGAATTCGAATAAATTCAGACAAGTATAAGCATACTTTCTGGAGCCATTTTCAAGCATCACGTGCAACAGCAATGATTCGTCCTGAAAAACTTCATTTTAGGTACTTGTGACAAAAATAACTATTTTGATTGAATCGGCTTTTACTTGGTGGAAATCCATTATCTAATAAAAGATTTTTTAAGTAAATTTTAATACTTATATATTTCCACAAACAAAAAATTGTGGAAATATATAAGTATTAAAATTTACTTAAAAAATCTTTTATTAAAAATAACTATTTTTACCCGCAAAAATATGTAAACACACAGGCTGGAACATGCTCACGCACTCGGCCACGGTAATTGTCCTGACGCCGGCGATCTGTATCTATGCGTCTGAAGGCTGGCCCCCTTGCGGAGTCGCGGCTTCGTCACAGAATATCGTCGATGGCAAGTCTACGTACTTACGCATCTGTATTAGGTGATCTGTGACAATAGCGCAAAAATCAGCGGCTTCCACTTGAAGTTTTAGAAGCATTTCATATTACTTTTTGGCAAATGGTCTGTTCCCCCTATTTCGACCTCGCTGAAACCGAAAATTCCTGTTGCCAAATCGAAATCTCAACCGGAAGTGAGATATCCAAGATGGCGGTCAAAATGGCGCTAAAACCGGAAATCGACGCTGTGAAGCCGTCATACAACTCAGGAACACACGAAAAATATCTTCTTACATGTTTTTGAGCATGAGGAATCCAAAAATACACCTAAAAATTGCCGTGGGTGAGAATTTTCAGTCATATTTCGAAATGAAAGATTTTTTTACTTCAATGTTTTTACGGAAAACAAACTCATGCTGAGTTTTGTTATAGGAAAGACGGTTCTTGTGCGTTACGGAGTAAAAAATATGTATGCGATTGTTACTTTTTATTGATTCAAATAAAGCATCAAAAGTTTGAGCCACAATGTTGGCAGCAGTTCGAAGGGTGGTGAGTGTGAGTGCAGCATTGCGCCGGCGAGCTGGCTATTCCCCTCCTCCGCCTGCCAGCGCGTTGCAACCTGTCGTGTGATTGTTGTAATTGTGATTTATTTGTGAATCTGTGGAGTACATAGTGATAGTGTTTGAAACCATGGCTGGAGTTATACTTATAATAGGTAAGTAATGCAATATACTTTTTAATGCAGGCAACTTTTTATATATCTTGTTTCTTCGCATTTTTAAAGAAGTGAGTTTATAGGTTATGCCACTAGAGATGTTTTTTTCTTGTAACTAAATTCATCAAACTAAATTCAAACTGCATTGTGTGTGTTGTCCATGTTTCAGGTGTATTGTGTGCGTCTGTGGTGTAACCCATAGAGGTTATGTGAGCAATGGTTTCCATTTGCTGGTGTTGGTGCACTTAAAACTTCACTTAAACCTCCAGTTTAAGGGTATGTGTTTTTTGTGCTGTACGGTTGTGGTGTCCCTCCCTTTCTCTTTTCGTAACCCCTTTTCTATTCTCCTAGGCTTTGATAATCATGGAGGGCAATAACTGTGACGGTGATTTAGTAAATAGCAGCCAATGTTTAATATGCCAGAAGCACAACAACAAACAGAGAGGCTGGTAAAACACAATTGGTAGCATGTGCAGGGCAAAAACACAAAAATATTTGACAGCCAGTTCAGTCAAGCCATTCTACGGATTTTGAAGTTCCGAAACATCAAGACGATCAGAAATGCTATCACCACAGAGGCTGTTATGCCACCTTTACTTCTGCTGCTAAAATAAACCAACTGAAAAAGAAAAATGAAAAATACATATACAGAAACTGGATGACAAAAATATAAAAGGCAATCTAATGACTCGATCGAAGACAGGAAAAACTTATTGGGACAAATGCTTGCTTTGCCAGCAAGAAAAGTCGAAAGGAGTTAAGCTTATAATGACAAAAAATATGAATGAAAAAGTAGCAGATTTGTCTTATTTTGACGACGAGCTGAATGTCAGGGTTAGTGCAGTTGGAGATTTAATAGCTGCGGAAGACAAATACCATAGTTCCTGTCTGTTGAGTTTTCAACAGTTAAAAGAAAGCTAAAAAACTTCTGAGTTGACCAAGCAAAAGGAAAATCTTCCTTTTATATGAATATGTAAAGAACTGCGAGTTGCCGCCTCCCTTGATCCCCGAATTAAAACCCGTATATAATAATTTTAAAAATAATAATAGTGACTATTTCACTAGAGTGTATTACACCGGCAATAAATTCGGAATTCAGCTGACAATATTGCTATCTGGGCAATACCAAAAACATGGTATTTCAGCGACCATGTTTTGACATTGTCAAACTGATATTTTTAATTTGAGGTTTTTATTTATATTTTTGTATTATATTTATTTTGAAAATAGTCATGACGATTATGACGAATACCACTCGAGGAAAAATTATGCAGGCAAAATTGTTCTCAAGGTTTTATTCAAGTTTGTTGCTTTTCGGCAATTTCGCGAATAACATTTTTGATAAAATCACTCCCCTGACGGCTCGTGATTTTGTCAAAAATGTCATTCGCGAAATTGCCAAGCAACAAACTTTCGTACCCTTCGAAAATTTTGCCGACAAAATTTTTTCTCTTGTGATATTAAGAGGGGCGTTTAAATAAAATGTCATTTACAGACCTTAACAAATTTCTGTTCAATTCCAAAGGACCCCGCAATATTTAAATGGAAATTGGTTACCCGTGATATTTGGATGAAATTTAAATATGTTATTGGGGATGCCGTAAGCAACATTTCTTACCATGGGCACAACCCTGTATACATGACAGGTGAGGCGTGGTTAGCTGTCAAATATTGGAATCTTATATCCAAAAGCAGAGTAACTATGGCAGATTTTGATAAACAAAAAATCTATTTCTACTAAGTCGACCAAGTTAAGTCGAAAAATGTCAACCATTTTGACACCTGTCAAAACCCTGCCAAACGGCAGCACTAATCTTTTCCAGTTTTCAATATTTTATGTCGTCATCTGACATTTTTAGTTTGTATGTAAATTCTGAATTCAAAAATTGAAAAAAAAAGACAGAACTGTGAAAACCTGTCATTTGTTTTAGTAGAAAAAAATACTCTAATCTGGTTCTTTCTCGTTTTAAGGTAGTTTATTGGTGATAAAACATTGAACAAAGTTCATGCACGTCACATTTTGACAGCTGTCAAAATCTGTCAATAGCTTTGATTAAAAAAAAATCAAATCTAGTTCTTTTTCAATTTATGTTGAGCTTATTTATGATAACGCATGAAAAAACATTATACGCAGGTTTTAGATTTTGACAGAGATGTCAACTTTCATTTTAAAGTACAGAGTTTTAGTATAAAGGATTTTTTCTACTGACATTTCATAATACGCTATTAAACGATTAAAATCTGTATCATAATGAACTTCATTTCGATACAGATTTTCATTATAATACTCATTTTTAATATTATACAATGTAGATAGATGGCAGCACTAGTTAAGATATTAAACATTTTAAACGGTGATTTTGCGTAAAACAATTATTTTGATAACTATAAAAAAGACTCCGAATTGTTTAAAAGTTACCTTAAGTTTGGGACAAAGAATAATTATTATGGAAATCATGAATGATAACGAAGAATTTTTACTTTCTTCATTATTATACATTGTCAATAGATGGCGCCACCAGTTAAAAAAATTTGAATTTTTTTTTTTTTAATTTTGACAGCACTCTGTTTATAGCTTTTCCATGGTAATTTAGCGAAAAACAATAATTTTATAAAAAAAATACTTCAAATTGTTATTAAAAGTTAATACCTAAAGTTTGGGAGAAGGCATTATTATGGAAATATTGAGCGATAACGAAGGATTTTCACTAACACCTCCAGAAATTACAGAAAGGGCGACAAATGCAGTTAATAATATACCAAGAAAATTTACGAAAAATTATATGGACAATTTATGGATTGGAGAAACACCAAAAATACATCATCCTTCTCAGAAAATGTTTTGATAGTATATTTTGAAGAGTTACAAGAAAAAATGAAACCTTCAACTGTATGGACGCATTACTCAATTATAAAATCCCTATTCAAAGTTAAGCATAATGTTGCCATATCTAAATATCATCAAGTTTTATCAATGGCAGTAGAAAAAATAGTGTATGCAACTCTCATGTAATGGCCATTAATACACTCGCATGTTATATACGAAACTCGCCTGCGGCTCGTTTCGTATCCTACAACATGCTCGTGTATTAATGGCTATCATTACATGATCATTGCATAATATACTATTATAAACTGGCGATTTTTTTTGAGTACTTTAATGAAATCATTATAATACTCAGTACTATAATGAAATCATTAAAATACTCAAACATTTTGACACTTACAAATTAAATCCACAATGATGTCATTATGACAGTTCTGTCATTTTTTTTTTCAATTTTTGAATTCAGAATTTACATACAAGTTAAAAATGTCAAATGACATCATAAAATATTGAAAACTGGAAAAGATGAATGCTGCCGTTTGGCAGGATTTTGACAGGTGTCAAAATGGTTGACATTTTTCGACTTAACTTGGTCGACTTAGAAGAAATAGATTTTTTGTTCATCAAAATGTGCCATAGTTACTCTGCTTTTGGATATAAGATTCCAATATTTGACAGCTAACCACGCCTCACCTGTCATGTATACAGGGTTGTGCCCATGGTAAGAAATGTTGCTTACGGCATCCCCAATAACATATTTAAATTTCATCCAAATATCACGGGTAACCAATTTCCATTTAAATATTGCGGAGTCCTTTAATTAGACCACTTTTCAGTGAAAGGAAGATATGTTCATAACAATAATAGTTTGGAGTATAAGTCGAAGCATTTTTGGTTGCAAAATTCGCAGTCTAAATAGTAAAATTATCACCACTTTTGTTGACAACAGTATGCAAATTTTGGTCACGGATTTAAATGAAAAAGGGATAAACATATAGAGAAGCACACCAACAATAAATTTCCAAAATTTCGGATCATAAAATGCTGGAATGAATGAAAAGAACAGAACATAGAATAAGGTTTATAGTAGGGATAGAATGGAGAGTCCTGTTATACGGGTCGGACCACCATTTGTGGCGCCATCTGTTGTCTATGAAATGAGCTCATCCCATTGTAGCAGCTTGTAGAGCAGTTTGCTTCTTATTATTTTTTTTTTTTTTATTTGCTTTTTATTTATTTTATAATAAAGACACAATTTGATACAAATTTAACAAATAACGGTTTATTACAAAAAAAGAAGAAACTTATGTTGGCTTTTCGAAACTTGTCAACAAAGTCAACACTTAACAACACAGAAAATTAATAACAATAATAGTCTTTACACTAAACATATCACTGTGAAAGTTCATAAATACACACAGATAACGCTCTATCACTAGGAAACACTTTTTGAACGAACAGAAATATTAAAACAACAATAAGAATGAATCACAACGTTTTCCAGTTCATCGTTTTGTCATCATTTGTCATTTCATGAATTTATGTCGGTTCATGACATAATTTAATTAGTAATGACGTCACCCTTCTTCTGAAGCGGAGATACCTTGGAGATACAATCAACAACACGTACGCAAATCAATTGATAGCGCCTCTACCGGGCATGAAACAAGTTTATTATCGAACAAAGTGGTACATTTGAAGATCGCGGGGTATGGAACAGAATTTCCGTTAATTTATGAGTTCTTATTCCAAAATTAATCAAAATCTGCCAAACAAAAAGGTGTCATTTTCAGCAGAGACTCAAACCAAACGTGTGTTCAGAGCTTCTCTTGAAGATGTCGCTGAGTTCGGGAAGCATATTAACTTCTTTCAAACGCCAGTAAAAACTATTTCAAATAGCTAATAATGTGAAATACTATTATTTCATTTGCATCTGAATAAAATTATTTAGTCCACTGTATATTACTGTGTAAACGAATGGATAGTGAAGATGTCGCCATCTACTTGTAAATAAGTCAATCACTTACAGGGAATGTGCACACCTGTGATTAAAAAATATTTTATTTTCTACTTTACTATTATAGATCCATAATACCTAGGAAACGAAATACGTTAACACACCTATAACAACCTGATCCATAACGCCCGCTTTTGCGGGCGTTATGATCTATAACGCCCGCTTATAATACCTTAAGGTGTTTTTGTTGTTGTTGTTCTATTAATTTGCACTTTACCCTAGGCAGCCACTAAATGTCTGACCGAAAATAATTTTCGGTCTAGCCAGGATTCGAACCCGGTCTACCATCAATGTTTCCCATGTAGTCCAGCGCGTTAACCTACAGGACCACCACCGTTGCCTTGCCTTATGAGATGTTTATAGATATATTAATGTATTTCGTTTCTATGTACAGGTCGCAGGTACAGGTACAGGTCACAGGTACAGGTACATGTCAAAATACAAAACAATATTCTGTCACACAAGTTTAACTGATTTTGTTAATAACAAATTGATGAAAAAACATTGTGTTGAGTAGAAAATAAAGCATTGTATGCACCACGGGGATTTCAAGATTATAATGCCCTTCAGGCGAAATATATCCCTCGGGCCATAGGCCCTCGGGCTAGTTTCGCCTTTGGGCATTATAATCTACATAATCCCCTTGGTACATAAATAGCTATAATGTATGTCAAAGCCCAAAATATGGCGCGCTGGCTCCTATCTGACGCCCCTCTTAATGACAATAATAATTATATTTTTTTTACAGGTCTTGACACTAGATGACGTGTGGAATAGGTACCATAGGTACAAAGAAATACGAAACAGTAGTATCGACGTTGTAGTTTCCCTGTCCTTTCAATCGAGACGGTCTACCTTTAAAAGTATATTAGAAGTAAAAGTCGGAGATGTGTTCCGGTTTTTTCAGCCTCTTAACCTCGGAGACAATGAACGCCAGATGCTGTTGATAACAATAATTAGGAGTAAAAGACTTGCTGCTGATGATTTCTGTAATGATAACGTCAAGCAGCTGCCCAGTTTCAAACCAGTCCAGGACAGCGATTTTCAAACTCTAGTGCATGCTGGTTTAAAAATTAGAGGAGATTTATCGTGGCCTGGACAGTCGAGTTTCGAGATTTCAAAGGAAGCTACCAAAGTGGTGCCAGATTCCTTGCACTTATTCATTAACGTGATTATGTAGGGATCAGATATTTCAGACGTTTTGTGTAGTGATCCCGATGATTCACTTGACAGCGATGATGACACCGATTATGACAGTGATGACGAAGAATTTCAGGAAAAAAGTCCAATTTTAGCTGGTGACGTTGGAATATCTATAGCACAAGATATAGTACATGCTGTTAGCCAGGGAAAGAAGTGAACTCCTAAGAATTCTTCACGTCACTGCTGACAACATTGATATTTTGACAGATACTCTGGACGGAAAGAAAACCTTTCATGCAACACAAATGGTTGCATGTCAAAGAAAAGGAACCGATACTTCACAGTATTTGACCAAAGCTGGCCTTGCAGAACACAGTACACTAAGGGCCGATACTTTTGCTCTCGATTAACGAATTTGATACGTTGTCAAAGTTTTGCATGGGCCAAGGTCTATATAAGTATGATGTGGTTAGGGCACATTCAAAGCCCTGATTATTTTTAACGGCTGTCAAATGAGAGCAAAAGTACCGGCACTTAAAGTACCTAAAGAACTACACGAACTTCCAGATGTTCCTTTTTTTAACAAGCAGGAACCACACTTTGATAAAAATGTCGATGAATCGTGGTATAATGCTTCGAATCCCTTCGATTTTGAGGCAATGCCGAAAGCAGTGCAAGATTCCAATGTAGAAGACTTAACTTTCTTAATTGGCAGATCTCAGAGTGAGAACAAAATTGGCTGGACAGAATTTAACAGGAGGGAAACAAACTCTATTCCCGATGTATCTGCCATGGGTTGATTCTCAACCCCCCGCACGAGTTCACAACATTGTACAGCGTCCTTTTGAGCTGTGTATCATTGGCAGGCAAACTTGGCAAGAAACATGTGGTGCTAACAGCTGATCAGGCTGTGTATTGCAAGCTCGTTGAGCTTCGCCGGGCGACACCCGTCTTCCAGGACCGTGTAGTCCTTCGAATGGGTGGGCTTCACATAGCTCTCAACTTTATGCAAGTCATAGGAAAGCATATGACCGGCAGTGGCCTTGGAGACTTGTGGGTCTCAAGTGGATTATTGGCAGAAGGCTCGGCGACTAAAGTTCTTGATGGAAAAGGCATGAGAGCCCATAAGCTGACACTGCAGGCCTTTTGGCGCCTCTTGCACCCGCAGTTTCTGAATTTTCTTGATGAGCAGTTCCTCAACTCTACTGAAATGTTTGTCCAAATTTTTGCAAGAAAAATCTTAACAGGACAAAATTTTTGCGCTGTGGTGGACGTACCTCGACATGGTCTTAACTTTCCTTATTAGCAATCCGAGGTGGAGACTGGGAAAGCTACCGTGATGCACTTTCGGACATGCTTCCTTACATAGCTTTATATGATCACGGAAACTATTTGAAATCCCTCTTGGTCTATATCGCAGACTTGATCATGCTCAAGAGTGGGTTGTTGACACGTGTAAAAGTGCAACGGATGGCATTCTTGGAATAACGCAGGATGTCAGGACTCTTCAGCGCTGGGCATTGTCGCTTCATTTTAGGACTCAAATATCCGAGCTAACCCATAGTATTTTCTCAAAAGCATCAAGTACATAAAGAAGAGGTAGCAGGCGTTCGCGGGACCTTCACGATGAAGACGCAATTCTTCAGCTTATGGAAACGTACAATCTGGGTTCCACAGAAAGATGCTGTACAGTATTGAGCAATGTGGCTACTGAGGATATAGCAACGACAAAGACTTCTGAAGCTCTTCTTACTGCGAAACAACGCGGGGCTGAGCTAGTGCAAAACTTTGTTCGTCAAAGGCTTGTCCAAAATCCAGAAAACGGCAAGTTTTTGATTAACTATCATGCAACATTATATAAAAACAACGCGCCCTCTTTGGGCGATCTCTCGGGCGATCTTTACAAGGAAAAGCCTACTCAAGCATCTAATAGAAAGCAAGTAATGGACACTGACAGAGACTTTTTGCGTATATTGATTGCGGGATATGGGGGAGGTAGAAAAATTGACCTCATGAAAATCTTAAAGCACGAGCTTTGCAAGTTTCCTGTATCATTAGCTACTGTAGACGGCGAGCTGCGAATAGCAGACAAGGCTTCGTTGGTGAAGGAAATCCTAAAGGGAATAGAGTGTCAAAGCGAACTCTCTTTTGGCAAAAACGATTCTCTCTTTATAATTGATGGATTGGTATTTGTCTTATCCTTGGGCCACCTGCAGCTAGCTGAATCTTTTGGTGACTACGCTGACTGCTTTATTAAATGAATATGGAGTCATGGATATAAGTTCCATGAAGTGCACATTGTTTTTGATCGGTACAGGGCTCTTTCTGTAAAAGGTGGAACTAGGAAAAAAATAGCAAAGGGTTTTGCTCCTGTGTGCAGAGAAATCACTGACAGCAACGTTCCATTACCAACGAACTGGAGCAATATTTTATTTCTTTCTGAGAACAAAGCTGACTTTTGCAGGTTTTTGTCAGACAAAATATTAGAGCATGACGGAGATCTTGAATTAGTATTTTCAGGCGGATTCGAGGATGAGTTACATGCTCAGTCTATTGACTTAATCCGCAATGTTGATGGACTCAGAGCGTCACACGAAGAGGCTGATACTCGTACGATTCTTCATGCTGTCCAAAGCACTGCTGCCAATGTAGTTGTGATGACCAGGGACACTGATGTTGTACTTCTTCTTGCACACCATTTTGGAAAAATGAAGCGTTCCAAACTGTGGGTTATGAGTGGAACAGCAAGGGATAAAACATATTCCAGTGCACGAAATTTGCAAATCGCTTTCAGAGGAGCAAGTTACAAATCTTTTAGCTTTCCATGCTGTCACTGGCTGTGACTCGACGTCCAAAATTGCATCCATCACTAAAGTCGGTGCCTGGAAAACTTTCTTTGGTGAAAACTGCGATCTCCTGAGTGAACTTGGTAGCTTACCACTCAGTGAGGACGCACTGAGAAACGTTGAAGTTTTCGTCTTCAAGTTGTAGAAGGTACGTCTACGTATTCAAAGTCAGGTGTTTTCTTTGCAATAAGCAACTTTTATTTACATTTCATTTTCCATACAGTCCATACCTGACGTTAGTTGCGCAGATGATGCCCGCGCTGTCTTGTTTGGCGCCATAAAGAAGCCCGAGTATCTCCCTCCTACGTCGGATGCACTCTAGCTCCACATTAAGAGATGTCACTACCAAGTGAGTAGACCTGAAACACGAAAAGTAGACAATATTAGACCATAAACAGTTATTTTTAACAAAATCTTAATTGGCAGGTTTGTGTTTGGAAGAATGCTCACCTCACACAACCAACTCTTCCGCTGCTTGGAGATTGCGGCTAGATGATTGTTGGCGAACAAGTACTTCTAAGATTTATGACATTAGATCCCATTCCTAAGACATGCCCTGAAATAATTATTTGTCAGTGCAAGGGACTATGTAATACTAAAAGCTGCAGTTGCAGAAAAGCAAAAAATGTACCTTGTTTCAAGTTATGCACCCCATGCAAACGTACTTGTCTGAATTCTGGAGAGACCCAGAAGTGTTTTGAACACTCTTCAGGTTTACGTAGTGAGAAAAGTCACAACATTTCATTATTGTAATTGTGTTTGAATAAAATTTTAGTTCAAAAGTGTTTTTAGAGTTAATTTTTGAAATCCTCATGCTGGAAAACATATGCCATGACACGTCACACTCTTTTGTACCATAACGACTAAAATGAGAGTAGTGGCAGCACCATCTTGGCGGCCATCTTGTTTAAGACTACAGGAAATAGATTTTTCATATCGTTTTTGAATTGCCCTTGCTCAAAAACATTTAAGAAGACATTTTCCGTCCGTTCTTGAGTTTTATGACGGCTTCACAGCGCCGATTTCGGGTTTTAGTGCCATTTTGATCGCCATCTTGGATATTTCACTTCCGGTTGTGATTTCGCTTTGGCAACAGGCATTTTCGGTTTTGGAAGGGGTCAAAATAGGGGATAAAGACCATTTGCTAAAAAGTAATATGAAATGCTTCTAAAAATGCTACGCGCATTTCTATATTTTGCCTAGACTAGAAAACTGATATCATAACCAGTTGAATTATGAAAACATGAGTGAAAATCAATTGTATTTATTTTATTTAAAAAAAAAAATATCTATTTATTGACATAAATAGGATTTTATGAAGATTCGAATAATGCCTTCGTCCAATCTAAATATTCTACTGCACTATTTGGACTAAATCATAATTTATCGGGGAAAATGGACAATTTTTTTTTTCTCACTCTGCTAAAAGCCCAGACTTATGAAAAATATCTAATTGATAACTACGCTAGCGAATGTTTAATCAGTTTTATGTTTCGTACCCAGTTGGCCAGTTTCAGAACTTTTTTGTGATAAATGATAATCCTGGCATGCAAAACTATTAATCAAAAACCAAAGAATCTCGACAAAAAGGAACGCTTGGTTAGGGAATATTCAAAAACATAAATAAAAATTTACTGATAAATTTTGACAAGTCAGAAGCAAATAAAACACAAATGATTTTTGAATTATTTTTGTAGTGCTTCTCATTTACCAACACAAGAAAATATAAGGTTTGTTCCAACCTTGCTTGAATTCGTTTGAGAATGGTCATAATATTCTTGCGCAAATCCCTTATAATATTGAACTGCGGCCAAATCCAAACCTTTGTTAACCATTTTGAAGCATATCTACCTGGAAAAAGGTGCTACAGGAGATCAAAATAGTACATTAAAATACAAGTTTCATAAGACGTCATTTATATAAAATGTCTTATGAAACGAATATTTTATACTATTTTTTCTATTTTGGTATTTTTTAATTGAAAAAAAAAAATTCTCGAAAATTTTATTCTCATATTTCCTGATTTCATATGTTTAGGTTGGTAACACTACTTGCCAAATATAGAAATCTTCTATTATAAAATCGCGAATAACAGTTCGATGGCCATCAGTCAGCCAGTGTTACCAACCTCCGATAAGAAAAAAAGGAGTTTCACAAAGAGCTTCTTTTCGAAACTACTTTCAGTGTCGAAAATACTTCGATATGACACCAAAATAGAAAAAACAAAATTAAACCCTGGAATAGGGTTGAACTTTTCACACCCTTATTTTTTTAAATTTGGAATCACCATGTACAAACTTACTGAACTAATTATTGATGTACAAGTTTTAATGAACATATGTATTTTTTTCTAGGAGACATTATGGACATA